ACTAAATATGATCATTTTTTTTACAGGTTTATAGGAAATCAATTGCAACCCAAACCAGTTGGAGGCCTAGCTCAAGTCCAAGGATCCAGCAGAGTAGCTTCTAGCCCACATAAAGATTACCTAGAAAACACGAACAGTTACTGGAAGATTGAGCAAAAAATGTGGAGACCAGTTTTTCGCGGGGATTTGAGAAAGAAACTGTAAATGGGGTGGGGGTCGGTTTTTTATTAGCAATTAACCTCCAGAAACGGAAGACTATCATGACAAATGACAGAAAGAAGAAAAAAAAAGAGGAGAATTAACCGATAGAATAGGGAGGAAAGGATTGTAATTTTCTTCGTAACTATTCGAGAGCAATAGAAAATACGGTATCCCAATTTTATTTGATTCACCATTTCTGATGAACAACACATCATTATTGTAAAAAATAAAAATAAAACATCAACAAGAGCAATCAACAGAAAAAGAGATAGCAACCAATCGAAAACAATGAAATCAAATGATCTTCTTCCCCTTCATTTTTTCACGCAGGGCTACAACAGATTTCTTTTTCGTTTTCCTTTAAGCAAGGTAAGTATTAAAACTCATTTTCGTATATGAGGTATTTCTTTATATTTAAAAAAATTAGTGGAAATTTCTTGAGATATTTGATTTATTTTAAGTTCTAGTGCGTGGTTATGTGAGTGTTTTGAAATAGAAGTAAAATAAGGGAGGAAGTAGGGTCGATTTAGTTTAGCTTTTACCTCTATAATTATCGTGAGTGTTGAATTAGGAGAGCTCAGGCTTCATCGAGGGTTGTGAAAGCGTGGTGGCCTGCCGAGCATCGACAAGCTGTGGGATCTTGGTGTACAACCACCGTTCGTGAAGGGAGATAATCATAGAAGAGAGCAAGATGGCCATGGCAGCCGTTCGGTCGAATGGAAGAGAAGTAGAGAGGAAAGAAAGAGGAAAAACGGCTGAGGGTTAGGTTTAGCATGAGTTTAGGATTAGGTTTAGTTTAAAGTAGGTTTTATATTAGGTTATTAGGGCTAATTACTTTGAGGTCACTGCGTATGCCGTTGATTTCCATTTTGGTCCTAAAGTCGAGTCTTGTTTGCTTCGTAATTTGGTCTTTATCTTTTATACACATTTGATTTTAGTCCTAAAAGCTAGGGTATTTATTTTCTCTCATTTGCATATTCGGTCTTCTAGTTTTTGCATGTTATATTTTAGTCCTCAAGTAAAATCTTTTTTGTTTTTTAATTTAGTTCTCAATTGTTGTGCGTATTTAATTTTAGTCATTAAATCAAAATTTCCAAGTTTTTAATTTGATCTTCACATTTGTAAATGTTTTTTTAGGTCATCAGTTTATGTAATTTTTTGTTGTTGTTTGTTTTCGCATTTAGCATGTAATTTTGGTTAATTGGCGTTTTAGTCTTTAAATCAAATCTGTTGTGTTTTAACTTTTTTTTTTGATCTTTTTATTTCATGCTTATTTAATTTTAGTCATAAATGTTAGTTATTTTGTTTTTGTCATTTAGACATTAGAGCTCCAAGTTTGTACATGTTACGTTTTGGTCCTGTAAATATTGGGTTTATTCTGGTTTTAATTCATAATGATAATAGTAGTTTTAATCAATATGGCAATATTTGCATGTATAGTTTAGTTTTTATTTTATTAGTATTTAAAATAATAAAGTTTCATTTAATACAGTCTAGTCCTTAAATATAGTTATTTCTTGAAATTCATATTTCGAGTTGATATGTCTTTTTTATTTTTATTCTAAATGTCACTTTCGTACATTATATATTAGTGTGTGTGTGTGTATATATATATATATATCTATGTATAAGTCATAATATATATAATTTATGGTATTAAAGTATTTTTGCATGTCATTTTCGTATGATTTGCATGATATCCTCATATGCATAACTCGACCTATTATATAATCGGACTAAAGGTAATACCCTTTTAATTTAAAATTGTCTTGAATGGCCTGTCTTAACTGATTAGAGGGTCGTTATGACCATTTTAAATTAAAATTGTATCCCGAAAGTGAAACAAAAAAATTGATTCGTCACCTAAAATTTGGGAATGAAAGAAAAGGAAATGTTCGTTTATTTAAATTTATCGAGAAAAGGTTGTTATAACTTTTAAGATCTGGTCTCGATATTTGTAAATAATCGAACATTCTTTATCTTTCTAAAACGATTTGGTAATTTTAATTTAATTATTTTGAGTGCTTTTGAATGTTTTCAAATTTATATCTTTGATTTATGGGATCAAAAATCAAATTGAATTCGAATTTGTAAAGTTCAATGCAAGGACGTTAATTAATCGACTAGGTACCGATTTAGGGCATTGTGGGGGTGTTAATCCTTCCCCACACGTAACCGACTCTCGAACTCAGATTTTGGTAACGCAGACCTTAATTTGTTATTTTAATTAAAATTAACTTTTATTTAAATAGCAAGCATTTTTGGGTGTCCAATCACACCCTAATCAAAGATTGGTGGCGACTCTTCGAACCGTATTTTTTGATCGTAAAGGAAATTCAAAATTTTTGAAAACGAGAGGTCTTTTAAATCGCATCTGTTTTTAAATTAAAAAGAGACAATTAAGAATTAATGTGGTTTTCAAAATCTCACCTTTTTTCACCTTTAAAAAAATCCATTCGACACATCTTGAATATCATCATCTTTATCACCATTGCTCTCACACACCTACAAGAGACTTTTAAGTAAATTTTGGTATCCAAATTGCTTTGGATCCTTGAACATTAGTTTCAATGCCTCTTGTTCCTTTTGGAACTCATACTTGTCTAATTTTAAATTATTTTCCTTTCTTTAAAGGACAAGTATGTTCCTTATCACCATGATAATGACAATGTGAACTTATTGTCATTATTGAACTAGATGAATTATTTAGAATGATCTCTTTTTCTCTTGTTAAACATTCAAGCTTATCTTTCAAATTGAAATTTTCTTTTTCAATACTTTCAAATTTCATTTTTGAGAGTTCTAAATCATTCTTCAAGATTTCATTTTGATTTTCAAAATCCATTTTCATTTCTAGAAGAAGTTTGTTTAATTTGAAAATTTCTTTTTCAAAGTTTTCAGATTTTATTTTTGAAAGCTCTAACTCATTTCTCAACATTTCATTTTGATTTTCCAAGTCTATTTTAGCTTTCAAAAGAATATCATTTTTAGCAATAAATTTAGAAATCAATTTATTGTATTTGGAGTTCATGGTCTCAAACTCCGAAAATAATTTATCATAAGCATCTTGTAACTCATTAAAAGATTTTGAATTTGATATATTTGAGTTAGAAGATACCTTTGGCTCTGTGAGAGCTAATAGAGACATCACTTTTATTGGTTCTTCTTCTTCCTTGTCTCTATAGATCTCCTCAAGCTTATCCCACATTTCCTTGGCACTTGAACAAGAAGAAACTCCTTTATATACATTAGGATCAATTGCACAACACAACATGTGCATAGCCTTTGAGTTTTGTTGAGCTTCCTTCCGTTCTTGAACACTCCACTTCTTTGCCTTCTTAGTAGGAGAGGAATATCCTTTCTTGATTATCATCCAAGCTTCCATATCAAATGCTTTGATGAATATCATCATACACCTCTTCCAATGACGATAATTTGTTTCATTGAAGTGTGGAGGTACGTCAATAGGTCTAGATTCTTCCATGGAAAATGAACCGGAAGTAGACGCCATCTTTATCGATTTAACTCTTCCCGGATCGACTCAAGAGGCGATTAAACCTTCAAATGAGTGAGGCTCTGATACCAATTGTTAAGTTAATCGATTGACGAATATAGCCAAGAGGGGGGTGAATTGGCAATTAAAATTTTGGTGGAAGCTTTTGCAGAAAATTGAAAGAAATTTGCACAGCAATTTAGAGTGGTTCGACTTTCTCAACCAAAGTCTACGTCTACTACCTTAGCTATCCACACTAAGGATTTTCCACAAATTCACTAATTTGTCTTTCTTTTGAGGACAAAGAGTAACCTTACAAACCCTCAAGAATTATACCCCAAATTCTTGAGAACACTCTCTCCCAAAGAGAACAATACAAATTTGCAAACTTACAAGAAAATCCTCACAAGGTAGATTGTTTGCACAATTCTAGAACAAAGAAAAGAACACTCAAGAATGAATACAATTGAGCACAATAAGTGTTCTTGAAAGCAAAATGAATATTGAATGAAAAATAGGGTTGAAATGCTCAAACTTGAGGTTTGATGCTTTCTCTTTGATTCTCTCTTGATTCTAGTTGCTTGATATTTCTTGTTATTGATCAATGGCTTCTAAGCTTGCTTAAATACACCTTGAATCACTTCTGAACGTTGGAGATCATTAATGAAGTTTTTGGAGCATTTTAAGTGTGAAAACAATTAATATTTCTGCTTGGAGCGTGGGGGGAATCGGTACCCCTAATGGGGAATCGGTTCTCTAAGTGTAAAATTCAAATATTTTGATCGTTGAATAGTGGGGGGAATCAGTACCCCCTTGGGGGGAATCGGTTCCCTCCGAGCATACTGGAATTCTCGGAGCCAAACCATTCAGGGGGAAATCGGTACCCCTTTGGGGGGAATCGGTTCCCTCTGAACAATCTGGAATTTTTTGCTTTGAAATGGTTCGAAATATTTTGTAAAAACGTTTTGAAATTATTTTAAGATTAAAACTTAATTTTACACTTGAGTAAGGATTTAAAATGAACTTTGAAATACTTTGAGTAATATTTTGATATTCGATTTAATATATCGAATATGCTTAGAAAAATTATTTTTAAAATTAAAATTCTTTTAATTTAATTTGTTATATCGAAACATCAAAATATTTTCAACAGGCACTGAACACGATCTGTATGACATTTGCCAGTGTGTTTATCGTGGATGACATCGGCTGCATTCGGTTAAAGTGCGGAATTATATCTTTTTATTCTTGATTGACATTCATTTTCGAAAAGTATATGGATTAGGGAGTGTAGTTTACCTTCCTCAGAATGTAAAAAGATTCAGAGATATTTGCAGACCGCGGATGCATTGGATAGATTATGCAAGGGTCTTATGAGATCCCTCAGTAGAACAACATCCGAGAGTGCAACAGTCATTCCCCCTCCGGTCATAGCGTGCCGGGAATTGACCGCATCGCCTATCAAAAGTGCACCGGGAGTCGGGTGTGGATCAGCAGCCATGATTTTATTTGGCGTTATTCTTATACTATCCTTCTTATCTATTGCGGCAATCAAGGCAGTGTACATTTCAGGAAGAACCTGAAATCAATGAATCATAGTGTTAGTCCATAGATTGAGAAAAACTCCCTTAATATAATAAATATGTTGATTATAATATTTGAGTTACGACAGCTTGATTTATTCTTCCTAATTTAGATGAAAAATTATAGTCGGTAGTTAAACGTCAACAGACTAATATCTAGTTCTTATGTTTCCATCTGGAGTGAGAGGAAGAAGTAGAGATGATGGGTTCTAGATCTCTCGCAATCTTGATCAAGAGGTTTTATAATTACTTTTAATATAGGTGTTAGACGTAAACGTAAAATCTTGGTAGATCCAAATACCTTGGGAGCCACCAGAGTTTTCAAGTAATGGGCCATTTCACCATCCGAAACAGAAGGTACATGTTGACTAGGTATATCCACCAAGCAACGAATTTCAGTGCTGCTAATGGGATAAAACACGACAGGTGAAGGTTCTGCTAAAATAATAGCTCCATAATTTTCATCCGGAAGCTTACAGTTCGTCAGGACTAAACCAGCAAAATAAGAAGGGATATCAACCCGCAGAAACAATCAAGACCTTCATATATACATTCTTTTTCTTAAACCATAGAATTCCACAAGACTTCCTAGGCATTCTTCACCTTGGGGTTGCACAGAGAGCGTCTCAAATTCGAGAAACAACCGTCGCAGACGATGGTGAGCGGAGCATAAGCAGTCAGCGGTTGGCCACTTTCGTCTTTATAGTGCACTCCTCTGACGGTCCCCTTCTCTTCAATCAGTGATGTTACTGTCCCTTGTTCTAGACTCACACTGCATTAGCATATTCATATTGAAATAAATGTTGTGATCGAAATTGAAGAAAGATTGAGACGAAGAAGATGAAGTATTTGGGAAGAGATGCAGCTTTGTTCCGCAACCTTTGAACGAAACGACCATTGTGTAAGTTTCTTCCTGCAACATGGGACTGATACTTCTCCAGAGGAAAAGATATGGGGGCATCCTTCCCATCCTTATATAGAACATAACCCAGAATTCGTACAGTATCAATCTCATCAACACAATCTGCAGTACAACAATTAATGTCCATGATCTCTTAGCATCACACTGCATCCACTATTTAAATTTTGAAAATTTCTTGTTACACTACAGCAAAACAGGTTGTTACACTACAACAAAATAAACAGGTTTCTAACGACCTTTTTTTTAATAATACATACCTTCAAGGCCTAATTCAATTAACTTGAGGTAGCCCCCTGGCATCAGACCTTCGCCGGAGATTCTCTCGGGTGCTTTTAAGTCTCTCTCGATCACTCACACTCGACGTCCATCCTGCAACCCACAACCTCAAACAGTCAAGACTCAAGAAATACATAATTAATGCAATCTGCAGAACATATAGCTATTAACAAATTTCTACTTCGAATCAATAGAAATTATGCATCACATATATATATATATATATATATATATATATATATGGACCTTTCCAAGATCGTAGGCAAGAGCAGCACCAGCAACACCAGCGCCGACTATGATAATATCCGTCGTCCCAACTGCCTCACAGTTTCCAGTTTTGTTTGCAGAGTTTTCCTCTGGAACCTCCATGGAAGCCGGTGTTTTCACCTTGCTCAGTCCCCTAGATCTCATTAAAGAAATGTAGTAAAAGAAAATAAGCCCCAAAAGAGATGCTATAACACCTGCAACTCCAACCATGTACTGCTCAGTCATTGATGTAAAAACAAAAAAGTATGAAACGGATTGTAAGGTGAGAGGATATAGATTCTTGTTTCCTTCACGGCTTTACTTCTGCAAAAGTTTAACCGAAAGGAGTGATTTATATAATTTTTTTGGCTTCGTTCATGGCTTCTAGTAGTGTCGACTGGGATTGTATTTGATCGACAAGTGGCTTACATTTTTGTATCATTTGGCATTACTTACTGTCAAGGCTACTACCTCTTTCGGTCGAAAATCAAAGTATCTTATGATCTTCAATTAAAATTTAGGGTAAACTACAATTTTAGTATGTTAGTACCTAAACTATTACTTTTGCTATGTTTTAGTACATAAATCTTATTTTTTTTAAATCATACCTAACATTTATAGATTTCAATTTGGTATCGTTAAAAACTTAACGAAATGGATGACATGGAATTTACATTACAAGACGCATGGAATATCAAAAAATGGAAAATAATTTCATGTCATCATTGCTGCTAAGTTTTTAACAGTGAGTACTAAATGAAACCTAAATTAAACGTTAAGTATGGTTTTAAAAATAAATAAAGTTGAGGTATTAAAACAGAACAAAAGTGATAGTTTAGGTATTAAACATGTAGTTTACCCTAAAATTTAAAAAGTGTTTAAATATGATTGATAGATCATGACAGATATAAAAAGGGTAAAATACATAGATAGTCCTCAACTATGAGATATTTGTTATTTAATTTTTGTTATATAATATTTTAATTTGATCATAATATTAAAAAATTAACCACTAGTTTGAAACATTTTACCCGTATAGTTCCTAGTTCTCTCTATTGTGATTTTCTTATCGCAATTTCTTATAATTTTAATATAGTCGAAAGATTCAATAAAAATATTTTATAATAGAGGATTATTTACAGATTTTACTCTTATAAAAATGATAAAGCAATTCTTTTAGTCTCATGTACTAATAACTTTATCAACTTCATTTTTAATCTTAAATATAAATAAAATTAAATCATTTACATCTTAAATGTCAAATGAATAAAAAATGTAAATATAGAGAAACAAAAGAAGTTGTTTTATCTTTTTTATAGTCGTTAGATTAAGATAAGTCTACAACGCACATTACATATCACAATGTACTATTAAAGTGATGATCGAAAGGTACCACAAGTAAATATATCCTTATTATGTAAATATTAAAAAGTAATCATTTATTAAAATTTAAGTATAATTTTAATGGAATTATAATTTTTTATTAAAAATGATAATTAGTTTAAGTAATTTAATTTGTTTAGAATTAGAATCGGTCATCAGCATTAGTCACTGTCAGCAATCACCTTAACTTACCGGAAAACTAATTACTACAACATCTAGCGCTTTCGTTTGTCGTCGCCTAGTTCGTCACCATTCAACAGTTGGACGTCTCGAAAGAAAAGCTTTACCTTTTGCGTTAGCTGCCGTCTGTTTGTTTTCCTTTTTTTTACGCACAGTGACCTTCAAAGAATAATCCCCGACCGTCGTTCATCCCAGTCAGTACAACCATGATTGTCGGTTCTCGTTCGACCGGGACCGCCGCTACGTGTAAGTCTATCGCACTTAACTCTCTTGTCATCTTTTCCATTATTTTTAATGGTTAAATTACATTTTAACCCCCTTATTTTTGTTTTATTTAGAATTGTTAAATTGCATGAAACCCCCAAATAGTTTCTCCCATTTATATTTTAAACTAATTGTATGTTTATGTTATAAAAGATATGGCTAAATTACATTAGCCCCTCCTACTTTTGTTTTAATTTAAATAATTAATTTTAAATAAATATTTATTACGTATATATTAAAACTATAATTTTAATAGAATTATAATTATATGGATTTATTTAAAATTAATCATTTATTAAAATTTAAAAATTATAATTTTAATAGAATTATAATTATAAGGATTTATTTAAAATTTATTATTTGTTAAAATTTATTATAATTTTAATAGAATTATAATTAAATAATAATTTTTTTTATTAAAAATAAGAATTAATTTTAGTAATTTAATTTGTTTAGAATTAGAATTTTTAAGTTATATAAGCTAAAATTATAATTAATTTTCATAAATGATTAATTTTAAATAAATCTTTATATTTTTAATATTTATATAATAAGGACAAATTTGCTTGTGGTATGTTTCGGTACGTCGCTTTAATAATATATTACAGTATGCGACGTGAGCTATATAATTTTCACGTCAAATCAACAATTAAAAATAATATTAAAATAGAAATGAATATGACTAAGATTTTCAAATAACAAAATAGTATAAGAACTCATTGTCACGAAATTAAAGTATGTGCTTTAAATCTTCAAATAGTCCAAGAACTATTCTCATGGATGGATCGAGATTTTTAAGAATTTTTTATATTTTTATTAATAATTTATTTTTATTATTTTTAAAATTTTATTAATTCATCTCATCTTAAAACTTTAAAAATTCATCTTTTAATATAAAATTTTATTTCGGTTTATGAGTATCCTCATCTTCTACTAGCAAGGAGAGCCAGATACAAGGAATCTCAAAGAGATTATGGAAACCTCGGCATGTAGAATCACATTTTCAAGCGACTTATTGTCCTTTTTGGGTAAACTGCAGCATAGGTCATTCTATTATTAGTACGTTATAGTTGGGTTATCATATTTCAGAAGGTCACAATCAAATCACTCAATTAATTGTAACAATCGGATCATTGTTTCGTTAATTGTCATGTTAAATATCAAACAAACATTAATTTTTTGGGTTAATTTACAATCAGGTTATCGAATTGGAAAATGGCTTGTCTTGGTAGATAAAAAGGACATTTAAAGAGAGTGTAACCCTGGTGCAAATAAAATTTCTTTAGGCACTTATTTCTTTATTTCGATGTATGATTTTGGATTTATCTTAATCTGGTTAAGAATGGGTTTTTTAATGAGGTCATTCTTCATTTCAAAAGAAAATTGTGACGTTAACGATAAGATATTTATATAATATAAATAATATATATAATTAGATTACTAAAATAGAAAATGGCTCATCCTGAGATAATTTTAAAGAGTCACAATCAAATCACTCAATTAATTGATTATCTAAGTTGCATAACAAAAATGTGAACAAAAAGTTAGTATCGGTTTGAAATTTCACGATATAATGACCTAATCGTTACAATTGATTAATTAAACGATTCAGTTATAATGTTTTGAAATACAATGATCCAACTGTAAACTTACTAATAAAATGGAGTGACATGTGTAATTTACCTTACTTTTTATCTTCAAATCTGCTTGAGGAAATGTGTCTTTGGTGCTTTGTATTCCGTCTGCTCGCGAGTAGTTGATATTGGACAAGTTGTCCAAATTTTGAACAACTAGAAGAATCAAATTATGCCACATTATAATATATGGCTTAAATTTCTAAATTTGAATATAGTGGAAGGACAAAAATCATAATTTTACCCGTAGTTTCTAAATTATGCCACAACGTTACAATAGAATAGACTTGTTTATATTATTTACTTTGAGAAAAAAACTGGGGCAGCTACACTAAAAAGGAAGATGGATATGAGTTTCAAATTGCTTGCCTTCTGCTTAAACTCCATGGAAGTTTGATCTTCAATGAACTAGAATACGGTAAGTTTACGAGGTTCTGCATCTTCGAGCGTTTTAACTACCGTTTTCATGCTCGGTCTGAGTACCGGAATCTTTGCCGATTTGTAACACCTTGATGGCATCTTCCTTTAATGTATCTGAGATGTTCATTTTCTTTGTTCTCAAGTTTGATCCAGTATATGTCCTTGTTCTCTCCGAATTTGGGCATGGCCTTTACCCGGTGACCAACTCCATCAATACGACTCCGAAGCTGTACAGATCACTCTTCTCGTTTATATTGCACGTGTATGCATACTCTGCAACCAAAACAAAAATAATGCTTCCGTTCGGTAAGTAATCGTAAACCAGCAGATTGCCACCCTCACCTGTGATGCTGCAGTAAAGCTTCACCACATTCACATGCTTAATGGCACTCAATGTCGTCACCCCGGCGTCATTCTAGTGATCTGAAGCTGCTTTTCGTTAGCTTAGCGGAACTGCTCCGCTAACTTTTACGGTTGCCCGAACCTGATGTCCAAATATGCTTGACGATTAGTTTTCTTCTGCCGTCCAATTCGACCTTGTAGACATTTCCAGACCCCCTTTATTTGCATTGGTGATGTCCTATTCAGTGAAACTTAGTCTTTGATATGATTTCATTTCCCATGAACACTGCTTCAATGGATGATTAAGATTACTCTGCCTTATCCTCAGTTCCTCACAAATATGTAACATCCTATCCATAAAAGAAGCACTAAGATTCCAGCTATGAAACATGAAAAAAAAGTTTCGAAGATGACTCGATGTGCCGGAATTTGATGAACACGGCCGAAAGTGAATTACCAGCAAGAGTTACATCATTCAGAGAAACGCATGAGCCTAAGAAGTCCGGTTTTCATACCAGAAAATATGTTACCATTCAAATAAAGGCTTCCTAGGCGTTTCAATTCTCCAACGGATTCCGGATTTGGCCAGAAAATTTGTTTGAACCAAGATGAATTGAGACTAATGAAGAAGCCTGAGAGATCAAAGCAGGCATTGCACCCGGAAATCGGTTATTCGACAGCAATAATTGTGCAAGAGACTTGGCATTACTTATTTCACCTGTTACTAGACCTTCAAATTGATTCATGGTAAGATCAATCAACTGAAGCTTTGGCAAGGTCCATATACCAGCAGAGACAGTAGCAGAAGTTGAACCATCTTGCCACTCTTGCACATCCTGGTGGTATAGGACCAGACCAAAAATTCTCGGAGGCATCTACGAAAGTGAAATTCGACCATGAGCCGATTTTCGGGGTAAGCCAACCGCATAAGTTTTTCGCGTAAAGTGATAACTCCACAAGGCTCTTGAATTCACCGAACTCCTCAGGTATCTCTCCTGAGAAATGGTTTTCAACGAGCTCTTCAAGGATCGCAACTCCGATAGGTCTCCTGGAAGCATATTCATCGATGCATCGAACTTCACTAGACTAGTGAGGTTTCCAAATCCAACAGGAAATTTTCCTGACAAAGAATTGTTTCCAAGATCAATCCAACAGGAAATTCATCGAACTTCAGGCCAACACATTTCTTCAACTCTTCATCAACAATCTTACCATACAAAGAATTGTTCCCAAGATCAATCTTCTCCAATGACTTCAGCTCGCAGATGGAGTACTCGAGAGGAAGATGACCAACCAAGTTTTGATGGGGAAGATTGATTTCGAAGGCTAATCCATTCGAAATACAAACAATTCCACTGAAGCTTCATTCAGGTTTTCCCTGTGTCCATGAACCGAAAATGTTGACATTTTAACTTTACAAATAATTCTTATATATTTTAGATATTTTCTTTATGTATACCATTGAAAATCTGTTTTCAATTTTCAAATTTTATAAATTTAACCCTAATAACATAAAATCATACATCCATCTATGCAACTCATTAGACTCCACTGAAGAGATTACGATGAACGAAAGAAACATGGGAAGAAGCCACTGCCGTAAGAAAATAGCGGAAAGTAAAAAAAGCATACGGTATCTAGTAAATAGAAATAATTTAGGGTAAACTACACTGTTACTCAACTATAAAACATTGCAAAAAAATCATTAAAGTTAGGTTTTATTTTCATTTTAGTCACTAAACATAGGCTTTGTTTAATTTCTAAATATAATTTATGTTTTTATCTTCTATTTTTTGAAAAATGAAAAACATATTTAGGAAATAGAAATAATTTTAACTGGTTGGTTCAAGTGATAAACAGTAAAAAAATTTAATAATGAAAATAAAAAAAATGTTTGATACCTATTTTTTTTAACGGTCATGAGAAATAAAATAAAAAAATCTTATATTTTATGTAGGTAAAATTAAAACGATTTTTTTTAATTAGAGTTCAAATTAATTGTATTAATTATGTATAACAATACTTTAACGATTGATTTAAAAATAAAAATATAATTTAAGGACCAGTTTACTAATATAAATATAAAAGAACATTAATGTCGTGTATAAATTTGTCTCGAACAACAATAATGTTGAAAATATGATAAACGTGTATGATTAAAAACCTTTGCTGATGAGTGGTGAAGATCGAAGAGTGTGGGGAAGGTGACGTGGCGCCAATGAACCAATGCAAACATGAACGAGATTGGTCCGGACTTTATTTAAAATCCGATCCGATTTTTAAGTTAAAACTTTTATCCAATTTGATATATATATTCATTTTTATAAGATAAAATAAGAATCTAATTGTAAAAAATTATTATTGCAATTATCCTTAAATATATAAAAGTAATTATGATGTATAATGATCGGGTTGAATTTTTTTACCCTAAAACAACCCAAAGTGACACGAATCTAAATTTTCAAAATAAATATTTGACGATCAAATCGTTTTAGAACCCATCATGTCTAGATTATTTTGTCACCCTTAACAATGATCAAGACTAACAAAGTCATATCCATACAGTCTATTCGATGGAAAAAAGCTCCAGACAATCGATATCGGCCGAACTCGAACCAAAGACTTTCAATGTGTTAAACTAATGTGATAACCAACTATATTTTATAAGGCATGCAACTCGATTTTTTTTGTATAATTTATGTAGAGTCCTGAGTTTGAGTAAATTTAGATAAATTAGGTAAAAAAAATCTCGAAAGAGTTATGAAAATTTAAAGAAAAACCCAAAGAAATTGTGAGATATGGAATTACTTACGGGTGTAAATGAATCGAGCTTGAAGGATAATGTTGTGTTTATTTTTGTTTGTTTATTCATTTATGAATATGTTCGTGTTCAGTTTATTTAACGTTCATAAACATATTTGTTTAATGTTCGACGATCAACACTCTCATTTTATTCTTTTATGATTATACCACTAGTCGTTAAGCTTCACAGTTTCAACTTTAAAGTTCATCTTGTATTCAATTTAGTACATATAGTCACTAATATTTAAAATGTAAAAAAAAAAAGAATCGAGTACTATCTTATAAACAAGTTGACAAACAAGCTTATAAATGAGTAAAGAAATGAACTTTTAAATGAGTTTGTTTATGAACATAATCAAACCAAACATACATTTGTTCATGTTCATTATTTCATTAAATTAACATAAAAAAATTATTCATACTCATTTGTTTAATTAGCTTAAGAAATAAACATAAACGAACATTACAACAATTCATCGAACACTATATTCATTTACCACCATAGTATTACTCCATTAAAACATCAATGAACTAAACAGGATCAAGTAGTAGGATGCCATGCAACTATTGACTGAATTCAACCTCTGATCAGCTAACAGTGACTGCTCGATGATCATCAACGTCGAAAGGCTTTCACTGCAAGACTTCTCTTAATTGGTGCATACAAGGATATACATATATATATATATATATATATATATATATATAAATAGGAAGATTTATGAGTTTAGAAATTTGACAGCTGCACGTAGTTTGTTCACAAGATCTTTCATTGTCATGCAGAATTCCACATCCATCTGAGCAACGATGGTTATGTGAACGGCAGAGCTCCCGAATGTCATTACATTGCTACTGGTGACCGTCAGTTGACATTTCTCGATCTCGTAGATGATTTTCTCGGGAAACCCTTTTCTTTTCTCGCAGTAAATTCTGATGAGAACACTTTTGTCACAGTGCCTTGCTTCGATCTCCGGCAATAGCACGTCAAAATGGGCACTGAAATCTTCATCCCGGCATGAAAAACCATCGTCAATTTCAGCCAAGATTTGGTTTTTCTTCACGAACATCAACGATTCAATTGGTTTCTGCCTTGCCTGTTCCTCGAGTGTCTTTCTCCTGCAGGTGTTTCACATACTTGATGGCATCCCCAAGTACAGTTGCTTTATCCATCTGCCCATCATATTTCATAAATTAATGATATGACAATCCATATAGGGGTTAATTTGTTTAAATTCACAATCGATAAGAAGAGTATTATAGTAATTATCCCAAAATATTAATAGTATAGACTATAGAGTCCGATCAAATCAAATGCTCATCCCTAATTATACCTTCTTCAAGCCAGGGACTAGAGCAGATAAAGCAATGAACTTCTGGCTGAGCTTTTCTCTCCGTTTCCTTTCAGCCAACGCAGTATCATTTGTCTGATAAATTCTGCTGCTTTTGCCTGCGCCACGATGACTACCATTAGCCACACAATTGTGGATCCAGATAGGACTGTTGTCGGGACGGGAGGAAGGGAGAGTGTCCGGTGCAAAACAAGGTTGAAGATTGAAGTTTGTAGTATCAGCTGGATGGGTGTTACTTTCGCATGAACTCCAGCCGTTGGTTTTAAGCTGTTTTGGAGGTCCATTGATGGCGGCGGGGCTAAGATAGTAATTATCCGAAAAAGGGTCCTGCAAGTTGTCTTCGAAAGAAACTGATACTGGGAGCTGGTAGACGAAGTTGATTTCATCGGGCGAGTTCATATGCCACTGATTGAATGGGTTGGGATCCTCCATGAATCCTTGTGGATTTGAGAATTCAATACAATTTCACATTCCACATAGGAATCCATGTTATATAGTCCACCATGCACCAGTAAATTGGCATCACCTAATTTTATTAATTTAAAAAGATATTAATTAATTGATCAATTAATAATTTATTAATTTAAAGAGGTTTTTATTCGATGAACCTATATTATTCTTTATGACATGGATCTATTAAGTAGCTTTACAACCAAAACTGAAGATGATATAATGTCTTTGCAAGAAATTATGTGGAAAGAAACACTCGTAGCGGCATCAACTCTTCATATTTTTTTTGGTTGCAGTATGAATACGTAATACAAAACTTTTGGATGCAATAAGAAAAGTTAGAGATAAAATACAGCTAGATTTTAATTTTAAGAAAGTAACAATAATAAAATCATATTTTACTAAGTTGTCCTGATTATATTTGTAATTTTATAGAATTATTATTTATAATTTTAAAGTGACCATAGATTTATATAAGAGTCTTCTGAAAAATTATTATCTTATTAATTTATTAAAATTATTAATTTAAACCTAGAGTCCAAATTAAGATCGAAAAAATATTATTTTAAAGAGATTATTAATTTATCAAATACTAATTTATACAAGTGTGTGTGTATGTGTGAAAATTCGTTGGTGGATTTTCCACACACAAAAAAAAAAGGCACATTGAAGATGTACTCCTTTTTCTTCTGGTTGTTAACGCTTTCTCATGGGCTTAAGAAAGTGGTTTTGGACGATACTTCTGAGTTTAGGAAAGTACGAGTTTAAATTTAATTAATCAAATTTTTTAACTGTTAATTGAATTATTTTTTAAAATTATTAACCATGTCAAATTTTGATTTTCAAATTAACTAAAATTTATTATTTTTTAAAATAAAACTTGGTTTTTATTAAATAAATAGGGTAAAGTACATAAATGGTCCATCGACTATTAGGAATTGTTTTATTGAGTCTCCCGATTATTCATATATTCCAAATTCGTCTTTTTTCGTTAAAAAAATGATAGTCGTCTGAGCTGGATGTTAACATGTTGACTGAGATATGATAGTCATTTGTGATTATGAGACCAGTTTTTATCATGTCCCAGTCAGCTTGTTAAAGCCTAGCTCAGACTGCCGCCATTTTTTTAACAGAAAATGACGAGTTTGGAACATAAGAATAATTGGGTGATCATTTTATAACTTTTAATAGTCAAAGGAAACAACA